TTTTTCTTTTTTGCTTATGTGGTGCTGAGGAATCAAACCCAGGGCCTCAGGCATGCAAGGCAAGCACTCTACCACTGAGCCACCTTCCCAGCCCGGAAACTAATTTTTTTTTTTTTTTTTTGGTCAGCTGTGTGGTTTGAACTCTGTGCCTGAATGCTGACCTTGAGCTCTTCAGCTCAAGGAAAGTGCTCTACCACTTGAGCTACAGCGCCACTTCTAACTTCCAGTTTTCTTTGGTAGATAATTGGAGACATGCATCTTATGGACTTTTCTTTCCCCAGGCTGACTTAGAACTATAATCTTCAGATCTCAGCCTCCTGAGTAGATAGGGTCATAGGTGTGAGCCATCAGCACCCAGCTTTGAATTTATCTATATGAATAAAATTATGGAATTTAATTCTCCCTCCATTTCTAGATGTAGGGAGACTTAACATTTCTTAGTATTATTATTTTTATTTTTGTTGGTCGTGGAAATTGAACTCTGGGCCTGGGCACTGTCCCTCAGCTCTTCAGCTCAAGGCTAGCACTGTACCACTTGAGCTGCAGCACCACTTCTGGTTTTCTGGTGGTTCATTGGAGATAAGAGTCTCACACACTTTATTGCCCAGGCTGGCTTTGAACCACAATCCTCAGATCAGCCTCCTGAGTAGCTAGGATAACAGGCATGAGCCACTAGTGCCCAGCTTTCTTAGTATTATTGTTTTTGTTTTTTGTTTTTGGGTCCGGTCGTGGGGCCTGAACTCTGGGCCTGGGTGCCATCCCTCAGCTCTTCAGCAAGGCTAGTGCTCTACCACTTGAGCCACAGCGCCATTTCCGGCTTTTTTCTTATGTGGTGCTGAGGAATCGAACCCAGGGCCTCATGCATTACAAGGCAAGCGCTCTACCACTGAGCCACCTTCCCAGCCCCCTCTTAGAATTATTGAAATGTGGGATTCAAAAAGTTCCAGAGGCTTTGGTTAAATGCTTGTGTTCTTTAGTCTCGAAGGCAAAAAGTCATTATTTTGTTCTATTTCACAGCCTGACTCCTTTGCATCTCTGGAAAGGACTTTTTCCTCCTCTTCAGAGGCCCCAGAGGCCCCTGGGCTTCACCTGAAACCTATGATGGTACTTCTGCCCTGGCATTAACATTTTAGTGCCCTGCCATTTTCCCAAAAGCAGATTATAAAGAGACCAAGCTATCTGAATCCTGCATTCATGGAGAAAAGTGGAAAGGAAGTCTGTTCAGGTGAGTAATGACAACCTGACCTGCATAGTTCAGTCAACATTGAAATATTTGGAAACTATTTCCTTTTTTTTTTTGGTCAGTCGTAGGGCTTGAACTCTTGGCTTGGGCACTGTCCCTGTGCTTTTCAGCTCAAGGTGAGCGCTCTACTACTTCAGCCACAGCGCCACTTCTGGTTTTCTGGTGGTTTATTGGAGATAAGAGTCTCACGGAAGCCGGGCGCTGGTGGCTCACGCCTGTAATCCTAGCTACTCAGGAGGCTGAGATCTGAGGATCGCGGTTCAAAGCCAGCCC